GGTTGTGGCTGTCTGTGCCCTAGCAGGCTTCCTGAGGTTTTTTACCTCAGCCAAGATGGCAGTACTGCCTACTGTCCAGGACACAGGTTGGTACCCAGCTGCCCCCATATCCCCTGTACCCAAGGGTAGCAATGGCTTGGCAGAAAACTGGCCATGGCGTCTTGGCCTGGCTTTAAGGGGCATTTCCTCTGCTATCAGAATTGAAGGGCAGAGGCATGCAGCCCTGCCTCTTGCCTGTCAGGAGAGGAGGGGGGTGGCTACCTTTTCCTTTGCCATCAATTGGTTCTTGTGAAAGTGTGTTTGGTGGTGGGATGTGGCTAGAGGTGGCATGGGACACAGAGCTCTTTGGCCTTTCCAGGGAGGCTGCGGAAGAGCAGGAAAGTGGGAGGAGGAAGGAGGGAAGGAAGCAGACAGCGGCACCTAGCTGTGCCAGCCCTTGCTGCTCACATGCATCTCGTCCTGGAAACCTGCCAAGTGTGGCGGTTAGTGCTTTGTAACTGGGGTACAGAAAATGGGAGGGAAGCGAAATGGCAGGTGATACCCCCTGGGGAACCATGCTGTCCTCCTTGCAGAGGGCCATTTTTGCTATTAATCTCGGAAAGAATGCTCTACAAGGCTCCCTCCCAGCTACAAAGGGCCGCCTGCAGGTGAATATTGGCGATGCCTTCTGAGGTTGAAATTACTGCTCCGCTCCATTGGAAAACTCAATTTTCCTTTTTAATCTTTTTTTTTTTTTTTGAGTGGGTAAAGAATGAACGGAATCAGTGATGATAGGACCCAGGTGGGGCTGCTGTAGTGGGCAGGTGAATGGAAGGAGGGCCATCTGAGGGCGGCTGTAAAATTAGACCTCAGCCCACGTCCCCGTTACACACACCGGAACATCAAGTGGAACACCCAAGCACTCACACAGCTTACATGCCAATGTGTCTCTAGGTGGCTTGAAAAGGGAGATCCAAGATCTGAAGTGTGGGGCAGAGAAGCATTCCAGGCAGAGGGGAGTGCCTCTCCGGGGCCTGTAACCACAGCTCTGTGGGGTGAGCCTGAGGTAGATCCAAGATGGGCAGGTCCTGATAGAAGTTGTGTGTGTGTGTGTGTGTGTGTGTGTGTGTGCACGTGCGTGCACAGGTGTGTACCTGTAGTTGGATGGGTTATATTTATATTTCTTTAAAGCTACACACACACACACACACATACACCATAGTGTTAGATACTTGTAACTCCAGATACCAGGGAGGCTGAGGCAGTGAGATGGAGAGTTTGAGGTTAGCGTGGGTTATACAGTGAAACTGTGCCAGAGAGAGGAAGAAGGAAAAAAGAGAAGAATGAAAAGAAAAGAATAGAAAGATAGAAGAGAAAGAGAGAGAGAGAGAGATATTTCAGCTCTTGCCACCATGCCATGGCATGCAATTTTGTCTCTTACCAGACTTCTGGCATGCTGTGGCCTCATGCGCACTGAGAACAGGAGTGTCCCCACTAAAATGGTGGCCTGACTGTTCAGCAGAGGCCAGGAGCACCCAACAGATCATCTTGAAGACATGCCATTGCGAGTCAGAGACATGTTCAGCTGTCTCTCACAGGAGGTGAGCACGGTTTTGTTACTAGTGTCAAGCTATGAAGAACCTGACTGAAGGATTTATCTTGGCTCATGGTTTCAGAGAGCTCAGTCTGTGGTTTATTGACCCTATGCATTGGGGTATAGAACATCTTTCTGCAGGAGCCTACAGGGGGGAACCCATGCTTCAATTCTTGATGGACACAAAGCAGAAAGCAAAGGGGCATACAGAAAGATAGCATAGTCCCAAGGACCCCCAACTCCCATGATATGTTTCCTTTAATTTGTCCCACCTTCAACTCCTCACTGCCTCCCAATAATGCTGTCTTGTGAATCTACTGAGGCATTAATCCATCAAATTGGTCAGAATCCCCATGGTTTATTACTTCTGGAATCACTTTCACAGACACTCTCAGGGAGTGCTTCCAAAATCGCTGGAGCTTTCTCTCATTGACGGTCAGAAGCAACCAGCACTCTAAATGTGTACTAGCTGGCATCTTAGACTGGTTCCCTCAGGGTGGACCTGGCTGCCCTCCTCACCCATGGCAGGAACCCAGCCCCATAGCTTCGATGTGTCTTCATATTTTCCTTTCTGAGTTTATCTCTGAATCGCTGGGGAAAGCCTTCCCCATGTTCCTCTCTCTTCCCCTTGTGTGAGACCACTTCTCATCCACCACTCCTCTGTGTCCCTTGGGAATGCGCTAGAACACGGTGTGACGTGCAGGAGACACACACGGCACCTACCCACAGGCCTGTCACATGCGACTTCACTTTGAAAGATGGTTGGACCCTGTGAGGTGCTCACTCACTCACTTCATTGCTTGAAGTTGGAGCAACCAGATGGGAGCCTGGGCCACCAAGCAGTGACAACATGTGAGGAGGGAACAGTCATGGCTCTCATTTCTCCACTTCCTCCAGTACAGGTGACAAGAATTTGGGCTTCAGAAGACATTATGGGCACATCTGGCTGTCAAGAGGGCAGTCCAGGTGCCAGAGCAGAGCTGACACACCAAAGGACGCACATGAACCTTGAGGGGCAGCTGCATGGGGATGGCATTTCCTTCAGCAGAGTCCTCACAGCTTTGCACTGTTGTGGCCGAGATCAGCCTCCCCAGTGCCCCGTAGTCAGGTGCCAGTTCCTCAGGGGATCAGGTAGTGTTGTCTACAGTTTAAATGTGTTGCCAGGACTGTCACTCTTCATCTGGGGAAGTAAATTCCCTATTATACCGGGACAAGGGAGAAAAAAACTTGAATTTGAGGAAAAACAAACAAACAAACAAACAACAAACTCAAATCTAGAACCTGCCCTTTGGGAAACTTGGTCTGTGAGCATCCCACCAGCAGAGATCTACTTGGACACAGGCTTGAGTCGGAGGATAGGGGGCTTGCCAGTGAGTGCATCTGGCAAGCAGGAGTGTGTGTGTGTGTGTGTGTGTGTGTGTGTGTGTCAGAGGACCTATAATAGCAGATGCTTGGCAACCATAAAAGGTTCTTCAGGTCTTATCTCTGCTAAGAGGCCATCTCATGTCACCATGACAGCATGGGAGGAAAAACACTGAGTTCACACAGTTGTGCCTCCTTGTTCACCCTGTGGCTGATGGTGGACAAAGAAGCCTTAACTGGGCTTTTGTCTATCCCAAGCTCAATACTTTACCTGAAAAAAGTGTAGTTCCTCCACGGAAGGCCTTGATATATATGGATATTAAAGTCCTCATCAGCACCCGACACACAGTTGCTGTTTCTTGAAGAGCTGAGCATGGTAATTGGAGAGCCTTGGCCGGGTCCCTTGTGTGGTGGCGGCATAAATCTCGAGGAGGTGACAGGCGTACAATGGCCTTACTCTTTCCTGATCAGGCTGGCCCGTGTCTGAGCTATTTATTAACTGGGACATGAATGGGCCAATGAAGGGCCGATTTATATGTTGCACAGAAAGATGTATGAGGACTGCCGTAAACATTGATTCCTTCCTCCTTTTCTTCTGGGCCGGGACATATATGCAGAGAACGCGGTCATACAGGGTACCCTTATCAGATCTTAGATACTTCCCTGACTGTCCGCAACCATTAACCTTGCATATTATCTGACTTGAGTGATTAGTACAAGGCACATAAAACCGTATTGATGGCCGGGCCTGGGTCAGAATGGGGCGTTGAGTTACCAGAGGCTGGATTTTGCTGACTCTGTGATACAAATGATAGTATTATGCCCGGGACACGAAATTGCTAATTTGTCATTTCTTTCATGGTGTTTTCAGTGCGACCCTAATGGATGAGGGGTAGACTGTGGCCTCGAGGAGAGGCCAGCAGCAGGCTGTTCTTTGTCTGCCAGGCTGTGTCTGTCCCCACACCCACGTGCTGTGCACACTGCTGCTCGTGCGCACCGAGGCTGCGTGGATTTCATGTCCGCCTCTGTCTTCCCATTGTATTTTCTGCCTCTGATGCCTGAACTGGGGAAGCTCTGTCTTTGCTGTCTACACTCAAGTTTAAAGGCTCTTCCTGCTCTGATATGCTCCTGCCAAGATGGCGTCCTACTGGCCTTTCTTAGCCACTGGCAGCTCCAGGCCCACAGTATGCTTTGACATCGTGCCCTAAAGTTTGTTCATAAATCAGATCCCCACGTTGCTGGAAAGGCAAGCACTCCATTGTCCCCCACAGATTGTGTGTGTGTGTGTGTGCACGTTTGGAGCTTGAGAAGCCAGACGAGACTATCACATAGCCACTGTCTGACTCAACCCTTCCCTTTATTGAGGAGTGTGTAAGCCAGGAAGGTGGGAAGGCAAATCTGGTCTGTCACTAACCCTCCCCTGTTCAGACCCCAGCTCGGCTGTGTATCTCAGGCACCTGTCAGTGGCTGGAGGTCCTTTGTTTGCTCAGACCACGCTGGGGTCACCCAGCTTCTGCCTGGTAGGTGTCTCTCAGGTGACAGGTACCAGCAAAGGGCGGGGCATGGGTAATGACAGTGGCACACCTCTTCCAACAAGGCCGTATCTCCTAAACCTTCTCAAATAGTTCCATCCGCCAGGGACCAAGCATTCAGGCGTGAGCCTGTGGGGCCCATTCTCATCCAAACCACCACAACTGCTTTGGGCTTCGGTGTTGGATTGGAACCCAGGGCTTCATGCATGCCATGCAAGCACTTTACCACTGAGCCACACCCCAGCCTGAGAATTCATTTCTTAAGGAAGAGCAATGCAGGCCCTGCCTCAGGGACCTGCCTCACCGACCTGCAGGGAAGGAAGTCCCAGGAAGGGCAGAATGGCAGGTGTGTGATATCAGCCCTCACCTGAAGAGGGAGCAGTATGGCCTGTGGGGATGTGGAGAAACGCCTCAGGAATGTGTTTCCCCGGGGTGCTTTGCGTGATCACCTGACTTCCCTCCCCTCCCCTATGTGACTTTTTTCTCTCTTAATAATAATTTTCTAACTCGGGAGGGTCTCGGAAGTCACCATGTTCCTTTTAGAATATTTATTGTGTGTATGTGTATAAACATGTAGGCCATGGCTTGCCAGTAGAAGGCAGAGATTTCCAGGCTTCTTTCTCTGTACCATGGGGTCCCCACAGCTGAGCTCACTTCGTCAGCCTTGGTGGCAGACACCCTCATCCACTGAGCTATCCTGTCAACTACTTCCCGGCCTTTCTCAGGCTCTCTGTGCTGGATCCTGAGCCGAGCCATATGCCCACCCTCTGCTGTGCATGGCCAAGCTGTTCCTAGGAGATGCTAGAGAAAAAATTAATTATAATTACATTTTTTTTTTTTCAGGAACTCACCCTGTATACCGGCCTGGCTTGGCAGTCAGTATGGTTCCAGGATGGCAATCCCCCTGTCTCAGCTTTCTAAGGCCTGGCCTCACAGGTGTGTTCTAGCATATTCTGTGAGGCTCTCACAGAGCCCACACTGCAAGGCCTACTGTCTGTTAAACAGCTGGTAAAAGCAATGTGCAGGACCCCATTCTCCTTCGTCCTGAGGCCCACATGGTTCTTCCTGCTGAAAGTCCTGATTTAACGTTTGTTTTGTACAGGACATTCTCAATGTGTACAAAAGAGGATCACAGGATGAGGAACCTGTCCATACCCACCACATAGCTGAAACATTAGCCTCTACGACCAACTATTTCATAGCCCACACATTCTGACTCACCTCACAGTTTTGAAACAAGTTGGAGGTGTCACATGACTCTCGTGAGTCTACCAACACTTCGGTAGGCACTGTAAAGGGACCATTAACCTATGACCGAGGGGCTGACAGGTCAGCTTGGTGATAAGACAGCTCGCTGCTCTTATGGAGACTGAGAACTAGCTTGCTCCCACTGGAGTTTCTCTCACTCCTCTTTCAGTCCACAGCTCCCCACCATCTTGCTTCATTTCCCCCAAGGTTCATATGCTGAGGGACGGAGGTTGTTAGAGTTCCTTGCATCCTGCATTGGGGTGGTTTTGTCTTGGGGGTGTGTTACCAGCTCTGTCCCCCGAATCTCTCTCAAACTGGTAGCTCCCAAAGTGACAAATATTCTTCTCAGGGAATGTCACTATTGCCAGGAAGTTCTTGGCCAAGTGTGGTGGCACTTTTGGTTCGTTGGCATGGAGCAAGGTGCTAATGACATCTAGTGGTAGAGGCCAGGGATGCCACTCTTCTCCCATAATGCACTCCTTTCCACCCCCAGGATTCTCAACCCAGTATGCATCAGTCCTAACTGGAGGGAGTTGGACTGGAGTCGAGTTGTCATGATGATGGTTGGTTAATCACATGGCTGTGACTATGTGGCCTTTTCTGTATTTGTGGCTCTGGGTGTATTTCACCCCCTGGGGCTGGATCCTCTGGACTGTAGCACAGAGATAGCTGAGGGCCTACCTCTATGTCTTTTTTCCTGACTGGAGGACTGCTATAAAGGGACACCTCCAAGTGTTCTCAGGTCAGTGTTTCACCATGCAAGCTGCATCTGGTGGCTGGTTCTTATGTCTGGAGGGGAGGATGACCCCTTTACCAGGTTACCTCTCTCCAAGGTTGGCCGAGAAGTCAGACCACACAACTTTAGGGACATGCTACTCTCTCCCCTTGACACTGTGGTGGTCTGAGTTACTCTCCTTAGCCTTTCTGGGCCTGGTCCTTTCACTAAGGGTTATTCTGTGTTGGGGTTGGGAGATAGATAGCCCAGTGGGTAGAGCACTCACGTCAAGCACGAGGACCCGACTTTGGATCCAGAACCCAAGGACGCCATAGTGTCTGTGTATAACCAAGGTTGTCCTCTGACCTACTCTCACACTCTGGAATGGGCACCCAGATCTTTGGAAGTGGAGGAGGCATATAGTTTTTCTAGGAATTGCTATGTTTTGACAGCCATCATCATTCCTTAATTTGCTTTTTAAAGGTGGATGTGCTTATACCAAAACACTTCAGCAGCACATAAACAGGGAGACTAGAGCATTGGCCAACATCCTTCACAGAAGCTGGCTACACTGAAGCTCTTAGCTGGGGCTGGGGGGAGGGGTGAGGGGAGAGTGTGCGGGAATGACCCTTAGCTTCCTCTCTCCAGTTGCCAGCTTGCCAAAGATCTGGCTTCCCAGGAGAACCCCAAAGACAAGAAGCAAGTGCAGAGTGTGGGCCCTTGGGCGATGGTGTTTGCAGGTTTCCAGAACTGCCTTTGTTCATCTTCCAGACTCTGGTGACCTGGGTCCCTGTGTCCATTGGAGTCTCAGCATCAGGATGGGCCTTGTCATCTCCTTAGCTCCCAGAACAACCCAGAAGGCAAGTGCTCAAGCAGGTACATTTCATAATAGAATCAAATTGAGTAGAGGTCTTCTTGAAGAAAGATTAGTGTCTGAACCTCAGATTAGTCACCATCATTTGTTAATACACACTGGATATACAGGTGATAGAATCACTGATATTTGCCCATTTTTACGAGCTCAGTAATATGACACATGTGGGGCTTCACTGAAGGTCACTTTCCTCTCTTCAGTTAGAGGGGACTTTGTTTATGCAACACGCCTCTTCCCCGAGGCACGTCCTCTGTGGTCCTCTAAGGTTTCCTGCTGCTTCCTCTGCCTGTGGAAATGTCAGGCCACCTGCCCGTCTATCCAGGGCTCACTCGCTGGCTGTGACAGCCTTGGATCTTAGATGCCTTTCTCCGGCACAAAGCTGCCTGTACCTCCTCCCGGCTGAGGGATGATGGGTAAATCCTTAAATTCCTAGAGCTACATTTCTCACGTTGCAAAGGGCTTTGTGGTGCTTTGATCTCAGAAGGTTGCTGCAGGGGAGCAGAGATGGTGAGCCTGGGGGCGGAGCTTCTTCCAACCTTGGAGCCTGGGGGTCTTGATTGTGAGTGGCGGTGCTGAGGTGAGGGCAGCTGGCCATTCTTGATGCTTGGAGCAGGGGGACAAATTTTTCTTCACTGACATGTGCTGTGCACAGGACCAAGGACAGCCATCTGGTTTGTCCGTGGGCTACATGTATTCCTGGTGGGGATTTGCTCAAAAGTCAGGACTTACAGGCTGATGGGGAGCACAGCGCCATGCTTGAGCTAGTAGGCCTAGTCTAGAGGCATTCCTCAGCAGCCATCCTGGCTTCACAGATGTGGAGACCAAGGCATAGGAGTTGTGGAATTTGTAGTCCCACGGATGATAAACAGCAAAGGTTGGCTATGTTCTAATTATCTCACTCCCAAACCAGCTCTGTGCATTCCTTCATGGCTACAAACATCAGGTTCTTTCTTGGGGCTGCTGTATCCCTCTATGATGTCCTCAGTCTTCCTAAGTTTCACTTGGGTATTTCAGGGGCTTCTCCACCAGAAACCGGAGACACTCCTTAAAAACAAAAATTAAACTTGACCAGGAGCGGTAGCGTGTACTCATCACCTCAACACTTGGGAGCTGAAGGCAGCAGGGTCAGGAGTTCAGAGTCGCCCTCAGCTGCACAGGAAGCTCAAAGCTGCCTGAGATACTACACAAGCAAACAAACTCAACTAAAGTAAACCAAAAGAAACGCCTGCACCTTAACCGTCCAGTGTGCACCCCAGACTCCTGACAGAACAGGGATTCTTGAGTCTTCCTGCCATCTAGAGTGTCTGGACATTCTGTTGATTCAGCTGTGCTGACATGTACATGACACTGAGTTTGCCACCTCAGCCCCTGTCAGCCACAGTTCAGTTACACTGAGAACATCCCATTTAGAGCAGATGTTGCAGCCCTCCCTCAGTCCCTGGCTGCCCCATGCTGCCCTGTCCCCATGGACCTGAGGGCTCTCGGGAGCATCTGAATTGAGTAGTGTGCTGAGCCTCTTGTGGGTCTGGCTTATTTGACTTAGCATCATGTCTTCAGTGTTCCCCCATGCTGTAGTGTGTTCAAGAGTGTCCTTCCTGCTAAAGGCTGAGGACTATCCCGCTGTGGAGCCTCCCTGCTGCTAATTCATTAATAGGCACTTGGGCACGTGGCTTCTGCTTCCTCTTGGCTGTTGTGGACATGTGTGCAAGCGTCCACTTGGACCCCTGCCCATGGTTCCTAAAGGTATTTCCCGCTTCTTTCTTCCTCTTGTGCCCACGCCTCCACAATGTGGCGCCTGCACCAACTCTGCCACTGTTCTCTACCACTTCTTTCCATTTCCTTCCCCGGTCAGGGCAAGCATTCCCCCACAGCAGCCCCCTGTGCCCGAGGCTCAGCACACCCCTTTAAGCATGTGCACATCCTAGCCTGGGTTCTGTCACATGCTGGGCCTCAGGCACCCCACACAACCATGCTGCTGTCACTGCCCTGTTCCCGTTTGCTGCCTGTTCACAGTTGACTCAGACACAGACGGACCTTCCGTGACCCCAACAAATAGATGTGCTTGGCGGCATTAGTATAAGAGAGTTTAGCACAGCACGGCGGACACTCACGTTCTTCTCTCCCCCTACCGCTGGCCACTTTCCACTTCCCAGAGCCACGTACCCCATGCTTTTGTTCAGGGAGCTGTGAGTTTCTGCCCTCCCAGCCGCAGATGCTGACGATGACAGTGAGCTGGGATCTGGGGCTAGGAGAGGAGTCACAGAGCTGACAGGATCACTTACCTGCCATTGTGACCGGTTGCCTTTTCCAGAAGAAATCGTGTGGTTTTATTTTGCTAAGTCAAAACAGGAAGCTTCTTACTGGGGGGGAGGGGGGCAGACAGCAGACCAAACAACAGAAAGCACTCTCCATCGACCTCTGGGTCATTTGGCCGGACCTCTTGCCTCGTGGTCAGCCTTTTGGCTAACTGCTGATGGAGTCCAGAGATTAGCATCCCCGGTTCCTGGCTCATTTCCTTTGTGTCAATCGCCCAAGTTTTATGTTCTGTTCTGGTTTGGCTCTGGACAAACAACAAAAGCTGGGCCATCAGCGAGGTCTACCTAATCTGTCACCAGCCAAACCAGATACCCAGCAGAAAGATCCCAGAATCTCTCCACAGGAACTCAGCCCAGCCTCGCAGGTATTTCTCTGGGAATCACCTTCAGAAGGGAACCCCATAGTCCTGTGCATCCCACAGTCCCAGCAAAACCTAAATCTGCCACGTTTACCCTGGAAGACAGCACAAAATGTCACCAAGAACACTCGAAGGTAGCTCCTCTTCCTGCCTCTCCTGTTACCCTGCTCCCCCCCATGTTATGCCACAGAAGCAACCCGGAATTCGGTCCACCTTTCCATGGGAGGCAGGGTTCCATATTCAATGACCCTGCGGTGCAGCTCTCTAATAAACCATTTAGCGACCAGCCAGCCTGTGTGTTTACGCGGGTAAATTTGTTTCAGTGAGATTGCAGAACTCTGAACTTTCACTGTGTGCTATTTACTGTATCGAGCTGTGTTGAAAGGGGACCCCGCGCCTTTCCCCGGCTGGGCGTTCTGCTAACAGCACTTTAAAGAAGTGGAGAACGCTTGGCGATCGCCCGACGGGAGTGGGATCAATAATAGTCAGCAGTGTCTGATAATTGGAGTAGCTGTTTTACACAAGAGCTCGGGCTGCCTCGAGTGACTCTTATCAATCCATTGCCCATCATCATCTGATAATCAGACAGAAAAGATGGTGGGGGAATTTTCCCTTTTTAAATCAAGCTTGTGAAAAACATTTGAAATAATGATGAAAAAAAAATCGCATTGTTCCACTCGGCGGTAGGAAAACCGGGCAGGGACTGGAGGCTGCAGACCGGCTGGGGTGCACTGCCGTGGGAGGGGCCAGAGAGACGGTTCTAGAACACGTGGCGTGTGCGGAAGAAATCCCCGTGGCTGGAAGCTGAGCAGCTGCTGTCCTCAGTTCCCTGCTCTCTGTCCTGGTCTGGGGTGGGTGGCATTGTGAAGGTTGTACATGAGTTGGGGAGGGGGATTGTGTGGGGGCGCTGGTTTGCCTCTGTCTTTGACCTTTGGCTCTCATGAACCCCAGGGCCACCAAGTTCTTCCCAGGCTTGTGCACTGCCATCTTGGAGTGCCCCCATGTCTGTCCTGGCCCCTACCACATGCCTTCTGTGACCCCATTCCCGGGGGCAGAATTTGCTTGTGTCTCTGGGGCTCCAGAAGCTAAACTTGACACTGTGAAAAGGCTGAGAGTAACACGCTCATGCGGCCTAGCTCAGGCTGTGTGTGCCTCCCACCTGAGAGCGTGGTCCCACCCAGGCAAGAGCAGTGTAGACAGCCTCAGCCACTGAGTGTGGGCAATGAAGGATAATGTGTACGTAGCTACTGATCCTGAAATTGCTAACTGCACACAACTACTCCCCAAACCACCATGAGGCTTCGGTCTTCTAGAAAGCACGTGACATGTGTGCCCTAAAGTAAGAAGAATGGCTCTGGGGAATCTCTCTTGTTCCTTCGGAAGCAATCAGTGTGTGAGCAAATATGAGCGGGAGGCGTGTCCGAGGGCGAACACAGGCTTCTGCGGGAATCACCACCTCCCCCAACACGGCTCCACTCACTGCCGGGTTTGGGGTTCCCTCCTGAACCTCACCCTTAGCTCACTCCTACACAACCCCTGGCAAGGGAAAGTGGGTGTGGATACCCCAATATACTCACACAGATCTGAACGCCCACTAACAACTCACACACGAGCACTCTTACAGATGTGGACAAACGACACCCTTAGGTGCCTTCACATAAGCATGCATACCCGCTAGACCGTCCACACACGTGCACACATGCAGATGTGGAAATGCTTTCATCATTTGTGCACTCTCACAAAAGTGTTCACATCTGTACACACATATACACACACGGGAGTCCGTTTACATTCACGGACATACCTACACCCATGCAACGCACGCTCCTCTGAATGCACGCTTACATACGCGAGCACACCCAAGCATGCATGTCAATGTATACACACACGCACTGGCTTTAGGGCAGGCGTGAGGTAAGGATGAGGGTGGGGTGAGGCAGGGCAGCCCTGAAGCTGGCTTCCCAGCATATGCTGCGTAGGGGCCCAGCACACCGGGCAAGCCTGCAGAACACTGTGGTGGGATTGGGAGGAAGTGTGCCCCTGTTGGGGCCAGAGTGGGTACCTAGGGAGAACCCCCTCCTCTTCATAGCCTTCAATAGCCAGCACCCCCAAATGATGAGCAGTGAGACCAAGGAGACGCTGCCCTTGTTCATGCCGTACGGTGTGGGTGTGTATGTGGAGGTAGGCACGAGAAACTAATGCAAGTGAGCAAGTCTAGTGTCACCTTAGCACCTGGGCAGGTGGGATATGGGCCCCACAGACTCTCAAAGTCATGTTCACACAACAGCGTGCTGTCTGTGCGCAGCCTATGCTCATTACCTGTCCTCTCTGCTACGCTGCAAGAAGCCGTGCGGGGAAGTGCCCTAGCTTCTCATTGCTGGCACAGCATAACCCAACAACAAGCAGCTTAGGGGAGGGAGGCTTAACCTGCTTTTATCCCTGTGGGGAAGTCAGGTGGCAGCTCCCTAAAGCAGCTGGTCGTGTCAGAACAACAGTCAAGAACAGGGAGGAAGGAGCGCGCATGCACACACCCTCATTTGTTCACTTGCTTACCTGCTTGCTAAGTTTCTACAGTGCCTGGGGAGTGACGCCACTCACAGAGGGGTGCTGAGTCTTCCAACGTGAAGTTTAAGACATCTACCACAGACAGGCCCGTGGGCCTGTAGTGACAATCCCTCATCAACTCTCTTCCCAGGTGATTCTAGGCCCTGTCAAGTTGACAATCAAAACTAACCAGCAGCTGGTAGTCCACGTGTGACCAGGAAGCTGGGATTGGATAGAAAGTGGGGCGGGGCCCCAAGATCTCAATTCTCCACGAAGGCTGCATCTCAGAACATTCTGCAACCTTCCAAAATAGTGCCACCAGTTGAGGACCAAGCCTTCAAACATGCGAACCTGTGGGTGCTTTTTTACATCTGGACCACAGCACCCCCAGTTATGTGCTTCTCTGTGAACCCATGTTACTCTTCAGGGTTATGGAAAGATGGTGATGGAGATATCTGTTGGCATTCCTACAGACATGCTCTTCTCTGGTCTTGCCTGTGATTGGTGGACTCTGTGAACCTGGAACCCATGGTGGAGGCCAATCATGAAGAATGTGGAGGAGGAATCCCATGAGGGTGTTTGAGACTAGGAGGCTGTGAGGCCTCTCTGAAGAGGGTGACATTTGTACGAAAGCTTGAGGAAGAGAAGGGCCAGCTCAGAGGAGCACATACATGACAATAGGATTCTGTGGTTGGCATGGCATTGTATTAGCAACCCAGCTTTCCCACCTTTGCCTGAGATGGAGGCAGCTTTAGGAGGCGATTCCCCACTGCAATATTGAACAGTATCATTAGCACTAATGATCCCTGAGCTGAGGTGCCACACGGGGCCTAGAATACTACATAATCAAATCTTAGCTGTATCGAAAAGATGTTATTGGATTAGTCAGAATTGCTTTTGATTGTGTGGCTGCTCTTCCCGGGGATAACTGTCCAGTTACTTAGCAGCTTAATTCAAGCCCATGATGGGTGTTTAGCTCTGTGTAAGGGAAAGTGCTTGTTGATGTCCAGCATGGGCTGAACATAAGCTAGGCACAGAACCCAGAAAGAAGAGGCTCACGGGTTGTGGAGAGGGGCAGAGGGCTTGTGTGTGCAGAATGGAGCTGGGTAGCCATGTTGCCCTGAAGAAAGAGTGTTCTAGTTTGCTATCTTTCAGGAACACTGTATAGTCACACACACACAAGTAATAATTTAAAAAAGCAAAAGCAAACACTCAATCTAACCATATGGGACACTGTTAGAAGTCAATGCCTCACAAAGGATCTCAGATGAGAAGGCTGTGATACAGACAGCGGAGATTCTCCCTGAGGGACAGGTGGAACCCTGGACAGCCTGGATCCTGCGCACCATCCTGACTCCAGCTATAGCTGATGTCTACGCATCCTGAGTATGCGACCTCCAGGGCCGTCACACTGGCCAGGTGAGCAGCCATGCACTGTGGGTCCTATCATCTTGGTGACCAGCGTCCCTTGGGGTTTGCATAGCACCTTACGATAGGAGCTTGAGATATCTGCTGAACCAACATGCTGAGAAACTGGTTTTGGGTTTTGCAGACCTGCCTGTTCCTTCTCTGGCACACATGTGCCACCTTCCTACCATCTCCTCTTCCCATATCCCAGAAGAACCTGCCAGGCCCGCAGGGTCTGCCACCCCAGCTTCAGCTGCTGACCTCTCCTCTATCTGTCCACTATGGTGGATCAATTGTGTATTGAAGGACTTAGGGAGGTGACTTCATTTGGAAATAAGACCTTGAAGAAGTGATCAAGCTAGACTAGGGTTAGCCATGGATGAGTCTGATGTCCATATAAAGAGAAGAAACCAGGCTTAGAGATACACAAGGAAGGATGCTGATGGAGACAGAGATAGAGGGATGACATAAGCTGAGGAAGGCCACAGATGGCTGGTTGTTATCAGAGGCTGGGAGAGAGGCCACAAGGAACCAAGCTGTCAGAACTCGACCTCCAGCTTCTGGGCCCAGAATGTAAGAGAAATTGCTACCTTACCCTAAGTGTGGTTGTAGCTCTGACAGGAAACTATATAGCACCCCACAGGATTCTTTTTAACCCTTCTCTCTTCACATTACCCAACAAGCTCTGACTTTCTCCCCTATCTCAACCCTGTTCTTAACC